AGACAACAAGCCTGATGTTTTACTTGTGTTTGCAGTCTGGATCTAGTCTTGGAAATATACCAGTTGCTCCAGAGGAAGTCCTGAGTCAAGGGATTCAGTGTGCACAGTTAGGGGACAGGTTCTGAGGCAACCCCCTTCTCAACCACATGAAACATGCTTTGTGGAAGCTGTGTATACCCAATATGACACTACAGTTGTGATTGATACCCCTGCAGCCCAGACTTTGTGTCTATGATGGCATGGAGATGGAGTGTGCTTACTGCAATGCCCTTCAATGAAAATTCAGAGAGACACAGAAGTGAGGGGGAAAAAAAACTGCAGTTTTTCATCAAGCACTAGAAACAGATGAGGCTGGATTTTCTATTTAAACAGTGCAGCCTCTTTTCAGCCTTTTGTCTGAATTTTGGATGTTTTATTACCTAAAATCACAAACTAGTGCTGAAAATCATGAAAAAAAAAATCAATGTCCACATACACTAGTGCCCAAAAATAGTTGGAGTAATATATTTTCTGTAAAACCGCTGAAACGTATCATGTTATATACACTGCTCAAAAAGGAACAAAATCAGTATAGCATCAAGTCAATTAAACTCCTGGGATATTGATCTGGTCAGTTAAGTAGCAAAGGGGGTTGTTAATCAGTTTCAGCTGCTTTGGTGTTAATTAAATTAACAGGTGCAATAGATGGACAACAATTAGACCCCCCCCCCCCCCCCCAACAGTAATGGTTTCACAGGTGGAGGCCACTGACATTTTTTTTCCCTACTCAACATTTCTGACTGTTTTTCACTAGTTTTGTATTTTGCTAGAGTCGGTGTCATTACTGGTAGCATGAGGAGATACAGTGGGGCAAAAAAGTATTTAGTCAGCCACCAATTGTGCAAGTTATCCCACTTAAAAAGATGAGAGAGGCCTGTAATTGGCATCTTAGGTAGACCTCAACTATAAGAGACAAAATGAGAAAAAAAATCCAGACAATCACATTGGCTGATTTGGAAAGAATTTATTTGCAAATTATGGTGGAAAATAAGTATTTGGTCACCTACAAACAAGCAAGATTTCTGGCTCTCACAGACCTGTACCTTCTTCTTTAAGAGCCTCCTCTGTCCTGCACTCATTACCTGTATCAATGGCACCTGTTTGAACTTGTTATCAGTATAAAAGACACCTGTCCACAACCTCAAACAGTCACACTCCAAACTCCACTATGGTGAAGACCAAAGAGATGTCGAAGGACACCAGAAACAAAATTGTAGACCTGCACCAAGCTGGGAAGACTGAATCTGCAATAGGCAAGCACCTTGGTGTGAACAAATCAACTGTGGGAGCAATAATTAGAAAATGGAAGACATACAAGACCACTGATAATCTCCCTCGATCTGGGCCTCTACCCAAGATCTCACCCTGTGGGGTTAAAATGATCACAAGAACGGTGAGCAAAAATCCCAGGACCACACGGGGGGACCTAATGAATGACCTGCAGAGAGCTGGGACCAACGTAACAAAGGCTACCATCAGTAACACACTACGCCACCAGGGACTCAGATCCTGCAGTGCCAGACGTGTCCCCTGCTTAAGCCAGTACATGCCCGGGCCCTTCTGAAGTTCGCTAGAGAGCATTTGGATGATCCAGAAGAGGATTGAGAGAATGTCATATGGTCAGATGAAACCAAAATAGAACTGTTTGGTAGAAACACAACTCGTCGTGTTTGGAGGAGAGAGAATGCTGAGTTGCATCCAAAGAACACCATACCTACTGTGAAGCATGGGCGTGGCAACATCATGCTTTGGGGCTGTTTCTCCGCAAAGGGACCAGGACAACTGATCCATGTACAGGACAGAATGAATGGGGCCATGTATCGTGAGATTTTGAGTGCAAACCTCCTTCCAACAGCAAGGGAATTGAAGATGAAATGTGGCTGGGTCTTCCAACATGACAATGATCCCAAACATACCGCACGGGCAATGAAGGAGTGGCTTCGTAAGAAGCATTTCAAGGTCCTGGAGTGGCCTAGCCAGTCTCCAGATCTCAACCCCATAGAAAACCTTTGGAGGGAGTTGAAAGTCTGTGTTGCCCAGCGACAGATCTGCATGGAGGAATGGGCCAACATACCAGCAACAGTGTGTGCCAACCTTGTGAAGACGTACAGGAAACGTTTGACCTCTGTCATTGCCAACAAAGGATATATAACAAAGTATTGAGATGAACTTTTGATATTGACCAAATACTTATTTTCCACCATAATTTGCAAATAAATTCTTTCCAAATCAGCCAATGTGATTGGATTTTTTTTCTCATTTTTTCTCTCATAGTTGAGGTCTACCTATGATGCCAATTACAGGCCTCTCTCATATTTTTAAGTGGGAAAACTTGCACAATTGGTGGCTGACTAAATACTTTTTTGCCCCACTGTACCTGGACCATACAGAGGTTGCACAGGCAGTCCATCTCCTCCAGGATGGCACATCAATACGTGCCATTGCCAGAAGGTTTGCTGTGTCTCCCAGCACAGTCTCAAGAGCATGGAGGAGATTCCAGCAGATAGGCAGTTACTGTAGGAGAGCTGGACAGGCCCGTAGAAGGTCCTTAATCCATGGAGGGACGCACAGACCTTTACAGGCTAGCCAATGGCACCCTGACTGCCATCAGGTATTGGGAGGAAATCCTTGAACACATTGTCAGACCCTACGCTGGTGCAGTGGGTCATGGGTTCCTTCTGGTGCACGATAATGCCCGGCCTCGTAGTGAGAGTATGCAGGCAATTCCTGGAGGAAGAAGGAATTGATACCATTGAATAGTCCCCATGCTCGCCTGACCTAAGTCCAGAAGAACACCTCGGGGCTATCATGTTTCGGTCCATCTGACGACGCCAGGTTGCACCTCAGACTGTCCAGGAGCTCAGTGATGCCCTGGTCCAGATCTGGGAGGAAATACCTCAGGACACCATTCGTCATCTCAATAGGAGCATCCCCCAATGTTGTCAGGCATGCATACAAGCACATGTGGGCCATTCAAACTACTGAGTACTATTTTGAGTTGCTACAATGAAAATTTCAGCAAAATGACTAGTCTGCATCATTTTTTCACTTTGATTTTTGGGGTGTCTTTGAATTCATCCTCTGTAGGTTGATAATTTTCATTTCCATCAAACAATGGGGCATCCTTATATTCCTAACACATTACCCAGTCCATATCCATATAGATATCCTGCATGATATTTTTTTCCCCATTGAGAGCTGATGTGTTTTCAAAGTGTTCCTTTTTTTTTTTTTTTTTTTTTTTTGAGCAGTGTATGCCATTTTGTTCCACATTTTAATGCTGAATACAATTTTATACTACTTAATATCACATCTATTCAAACAAAAATGTTACATGGTAGAAGAGCTTGTGCTGTCAATCTAAGATGGGAAGCAAGAGGGGATCTTCACCACAAAAATGATACATGCTTTAATGTACCAAAATGCCAATATTTGGCTGGATAGCCTTTAGAAGCAACAAAACAGCCTTGTACCTTTCTGGCAGGAATGCACCAGTTCTTCTGGTGTAATAATATGACACCAGTTTGATCTACAAGTTCTCATTTGTTTTTTTTAGTGTTTGATTTTCAATACCACACTTTAGTCTTTCCCTTTTTATTGGGGTTTAGGTCCAAGCTGTTTCCTAGCCAATCAATAACATTAATACAATGGGATGAAAACCAGTCCTTTACAGCCCTGGCAGTATGGTGAGGAGTATTATTTTGCTGAAAATTAAATTCCTGTGAAGTGTGAGGGAATAGCTCAGCTGCAGAAGGATGAAGTTTTGGTTGTAATATTGCCAATACATCATCCCTGTTTGAATACATACCGTATTTTTCGCTCCATAAGACGCACCTGACCATAAGACGCACCTAGGTTTTAGAGGCAGAAAACAAGAAAAAAAATATTCTGAACCAATAGACTGCAGACACATTACAGGAAATGACCAGAGACTGCAGACACAGTACAGGAGATGACCAGAGCCTGCAGACATAGTACAGGAGATGACCAAAGACTGCGGACGTACTACAGGAGATGACCAGAGACTGCAGACATACTATAGGAGATGACCAGAGACTGCGGACGTACTACAGGAGATGACCAGAGACTGCGGACGTACTACAGAAGATGACCAGAGACTGCAGACATACTACAGGGGACGACCAGAGACTGCGGACACAGTACAGGAGAGGACCAGAGACTGCGGACATAGTACAGGAGATGACCAGAGTCTGCGGACATAGTACAGGAGATGACTAGAGTCTGCGGACACAGTACAGGAGATGACCAGAGACTGCGGACACAGTACAGGAGATGACCAGAGACTGCGGACAGTACAGGAGATGACCAGAGTCTGCGGACATAGTACAGGGGATGATCAGAGACTGCGGACAGTACAGGAGATGACCAGAGACTATGGACACAGTACAGGGGATCACCAGAGACTGCGGACATAGTACAGGAGATGACCAGAGACTGCGGACACAGTACAGGAGATGACCAGAGCCTGCAGACATAGTACAGGAGATGACCAAAGACTGCGGACGTACTACAGGAGATGACCAGAGACTGCAGACATACTATAGGAGATGACCAGAGACTGCGGACGTACTATAGGAGATGACCAGAGACTGCGGACGTACTACAGAAGATGACCAGAGACTGCAGACACAGTACAGATGACCAGAGACTGCAGACATACTACAGGGGACGACCAGAGACTGCGGACACAGTACAGGAGAGGACCAGAGACTGCGGACACAGTACAGGATGACCAGAGTCTGCGGACACAGTACAGGAGATGACCAGAGACTGCGGACACAGTACAGGAGATGACCAGAGACTGCGGACACAGTACAGGAGATGACCAGAGACTGCGGACACAGTACAGGAGATGACCAGAGACTGCGGACACAGTACAGGAGATGACCAGAGACTGCGGACACAGTACAGGAGATGACCAGAGACTGCGGACACAGTACAGGAGATGACCAGAGACTGCGGACAGTACAGGAGATGACCAGAGTCTGCGGACACAGTACAGGAGATGACCAGAGACTGCGGACATGTACAGGAGATGACCAGAGTCTGCGGACAGTACAGGAGATGACCAGAGACTGCGGACATAGTACAGGGGATGATCAGAGACTGCGGACAGTACAGGAGATGACCAGAGACTACGGACAGTACAGGAGATGACCAGAGTCTGCGGACAGTACAGGAGATGACCAGAGTCTGCGGACAGTACAGGAGATGACCAGAGTCTGCGGACAGTACAGGAGATGACCAGAGACTGCGGACACCGTACAGGAGAGGACCAGAGACTGCGGACACAGTACAGGGGATGACCAGAGACTGCGGACACAGTACAGGAGATGACCAGAGACTGCGGACATACTACATCATATAAAGTCCCTACAGGGCCCCTCCACCCAGAATATCAAATGATCTGACACCATACATCAAGGAAAAGGACTACAACTCCCAGCATGTCATTTTTAACTTACAGAAGGGGGTGAACTGAGCTCCGAGGACAGGCCACACCAGCAGACAGGACCAAACTGCAGAGCAGGGAGTGCACTATGGACAAATGCCAGGAAAGGGGAGGAGCTGTAAGGACAAGTTACACCCTGCGGACCGGACTGCAGAGCACAGAGAGCAGTACACAGACATGCCAGGAGCGGGGAGGAGCTCCGAGGACAGGCCACACCTGCAGGGCGGACCGGCAGAGCTGGGTTCGGCGGGGGACTGCCTACTATGAAGAGCTGCGGGGACAGCCTGCTGAGAGACGGGATATAGTAGGGAGAACGTCAGTGACAGTCTGCAGTGGGAGGGGACAGCCGCTGGCCCTAACACGGCGGGGGGGGTGACAGGTGGAGGACTGTCAGTATCCAGAGAGAGAAGGGATAAGGCAGACAGGTGACAGGCATCGGGAGGGGACAGGCTGCAGTGGGAGGGGACAGCCGCAGGTCCTAACATGGCGGCGGTGACAGGTGGAGGACTGTCAGTATTCGCTCCATAAGACGCACAGACATTTTCCCCCATATTTTCTGGGGAAAAAAGTGCGTCTTATGGAGCGAAAAATACGGTATATTAATTTTGTTCAGAATTCATTTGGAATAATAAAATTAGTTATATATATATATATATATATATATATATATTATATATCCACTGTTTCCCCTAAAACAAGTCCTACCCTGAAAATAAGACCTAGTGCTATTTTTGGGAATTGCTAAAGTATAAGACCCGACAATAAGACCTAGTTGTGATCAGGGCTTTTTTTCAGCCGAAACATGGCGGAACGCCATTCCGCCACCTCCGCCACTGGCCCTGCACACACCCATATCTACTGTCTCTTACAAACACAGAAGTGCGGCTGAAGTGACAGCACCATTCGCTCCCACAGAACCTCCCTACCTCTGTACTCACTGTGGGACAGGGAAGGAACAGATATCTGCGGGTGCAGCATGCACTGTGTTTAGGGGTGGGGCATCTCCTCCTGCAGCCTAATGTATGGAAGCCGATGCCCCAGGGGTGATCACCGGCCAGTGGGGAAGAGGCGGAGTGGTGAGTAATTGCGCTTGGTGCACTGTGTGGGAAGATAGGACCCGAAACGGGAGTTACTATAGAGAGGGGCCGTCTGCTGACAGCTGTGTTTTGCAAAGCTAGCTAACCATATGAGGGCGGGGGGGGGAGGGGGGATGTGCAAAGGTGAGCTGCAGTCAGGTGTTGCAGAGGTAAATTGAGTCAGGTGAGTTGCTGACGGTGCATAGGTGAGTTGAGTTGCAACCCACCTTTGCACCCCCCAGCCACAGCTCAGCTCTGCACCCCCTGGTCACAGCTCAGCTCTGCACCCCCTGGCCACAGCTCACCTCTGCATCCCACGTATGCAACTCACCCCTTCACACTGTCTGTGGCTCATATCTGCAGCCTGTCTGAAACTCACCTGTCAAGTCACCCCTGCAACACCTGACTGCAGCTCACAACTGTCATCAGCCGGCCCTCTCCATAGTAACCCTCATCCACAACTGCCTGCAGCTCACCTCTGTACCCCCTGTCCACACCTGGACATTTAAAAAATAAGACCTACCCCAAAAATAGGACCTAGTGTGTTTTTTTTTTTTTATCCAAAAAAAATATAAGACAGTGTCTTATTTTTGGGGAAACACGGTGTGTGTGTGTGTGTATGTATGTGTGTATATATATATATATATACACAGTTGTGTTCAAAATAATAGCAGTGTGTTGAAAAAAGTGAATAAAGCTCAAAATCCTTCTAATAGCTTTTATTTCCATACACACAAATGCATTGGGAACACTACACATTCTATTCCAAATCAAAACATGAAGAAAAATATATCAAATTTGTGTTGTTCCTCTAAAAAAAATTGAAGAAAAGTGAATATTAGACTGTTCAAAAAAATAGCAGTGTTTGTATTCTTCTTTACAAACTCAAACATTCACTATATAAACTGAAAAATGTTTGAAGATTTTGCTTTCCTTTGAATCACTTAATGAATATTTAGTTGTATCGCACTGTTTCTGAGGAATGCTGTACATCTGTGTTGCATGGAGTCACCAACTTCTGGCACCTGTGAACAGGTATTCCAGCCCAGGATGATTGGACTACATTCCACAGTTCTTCTTTATTTCTTGGTTTTGCCTCAGAAACTGCATTTTTGATGTCACCCCACAAGTTTTCTATTGGACTAAGATCCGGGGATTGGGCTGGCCACTCCACAACGTCAATCTTGTTGGTCTGGAACTAAGATGTTGCACGTTTACTGATGTGTTTGGGGTCGTTGTCTTGTTGGAACACCCATTTCAAGGGCATTTCCTCTTCAGCATAAGGCAGCATGACCTCTTCAAGTATTCTGATGTATTCAAACTGATCCATGATCCTGGTATGCGATAAATAGGCCCAACACCGTAGTATGAGAAACATCCCCATATCATGATGCTTGCACCACCATGCTTCACTGTCTTCACAGTGTACTGTGGCTTGAATTCAGTGTTTGGGGGTCGTCTGACAAACAGTCTCCGGCCACTAGACCCAAAAAGAACAATCTTACCTTCATCAGTCCACAAAATGTTGCACCATTTCTCTTTAGGCCAATCAATGTGCTCTTTGGCAAATTGTAACCTCTTCAGCTCGTCTTTTTTTCAACAGTGGGACTTTGCGGGGCTTCTTGCAAATAGCTTGGCTTCACATAGGAGTCTTCTAATTGTAACAGTACTCACAGGTAACTTTACACCTTCTTTGATCTTCCTGGAGCTGATTGTTGGCTGAGTCCTTGCCATTTTGGCTATTCTTTTATCCATTCGAGTGGTAGTTTTTCACTTTCTTCCACGTCTTTCAGGTTTTGGTTGCCATTTTAAAGCATTTGCGATAATTTTAGCTGAGCAGCCTATCATTTTCTGCACTTCTTTATATGTTTTCCCCTCTCTAATCAACTTTTTAATCAAGATACGCTGTTTTTCTGAACAATGTCTGGAACGACCCATTTTCCTCAGAATTTCAGAGAGAAATGCACTGTAACCAGCATGTACATTTGCTGCCTTCTTTCCTTAAATAAGGGCAATAATTGCCATCTGTTTTTCAAAGAATGAATGACCTCACTAATAGAACTCCACACTGCTATTATTTTGAACATGCCCCTTTCAATTAGTGATTCAATTACACAGAATCAGCAGCATGCATGTCATGACTGTTGGGTCTGTTGGATTTCTATTACTCTACTACACCTGCTAGTAAATTATTTGCCATGTAGAAATATCATTTCTATCAAAAACAGTGATTGATCAGGTTAGTGATGTCTGACTGCTATTATTTTGAATACAACTGTATATATATATATACACACACACACTGCTCAGCATAAATGAGTACAACCCTTTTGAAAAGTAAGACTTTAATCAATATCTCAATGACCACAAGAACAATTTCCAGTTTTATTTAACATTTGTTTAGCTCATTTCATGAAGGTAAGGTTAATAATATAACTTAGATTACAACATCTTTAAATCTACTCAAAATAGTTGATGCAAAAATGAATACACCCCACAGCAAAAAAACTACTCCATCTAGTATTTTTTATGACCTCCATGATTTGTAAAGACAGTACCAAGTCTTCTAGGCATGAAATGAACAAGTTGGTGGCATATTGCAACATCAATCTTTTTCCATTCTTCAAGAACGACGTCTTGTAGCCTCCCTGACAGTATTCCCGAGTGTAGCTCGGGGTAAAGTTTCAGTACCACAAGGGTAACCCCGATCTACACTCGGGCTTACCATGCGGCGCTGCTCCAGGATCCCTCGATCACTTACCTTGTCCTGCGCTCCCGCGATGTCCCTCCTGCAGTGTCCCCTGTAATGTCCTCCGGCGGATGCCGGCATCTGTCATCTGGGTTCCGTCCCCTGCGACGACGGGACGTACGGGGGACATAACGGCGGGAAATTTGAAAATGACAAAAAGTGACATTCACTGAAATCACATAGTAAAACATTACTTTATCAAACCATTTCACATACATTTTGTCCCGAGTGCTTTGTCCGTGCCCTGCCTGCATTTTTACTGTTCTTTCTGCCTGGAAACTGAGAAATGTCCATGGCATCCAAAAAACGTCCCTTTAGGTCAAAATCGGTTTTAGACCGGCTAGAGAACAGTGATAGTAAATTAAAACTACTTGCAGAATTGAGTGATAATGATTTGTGGGGAAATTCGTCATCAGATACTGAAAATGATTTTACGACTTTGCTCAGTGATGTGCGAACGTGGCGCTATATTTCAAATTTCAGTGTTTTTGGTTTGATTATATTATTGAATTAAAATTATTATATTATTTTTTATGATTATTTATTAAATTATAATTTATGATTTCGTGCTTCAAATTGTAACATACACGGGATGTTTACTAGATTCTTGTTCGGACAGATTTCAGTGAGTTATTCCTAAAAAATTACAGACCTACAATTAAAAAAATACATATTCCCGTGCAAAAAATGTACCGCTTTGAGCACAGAAATATGGACATAATCAGACTGTTAGGGAGGTTAAAGCCTGGATGCTGGATGGTGAGTGATGCTCATTCTGTCTCTTCATAATTCCCCATAATTCCCCAGGTGTTTGATTTCAGATCAGGAGACATACTTGGCCACTGAATCACGTTCACCCTGTTCTTCTTCAAAAATACAACAGTGGCCTTAGATGTGTGTTTTGGATCATTGTCATGCTGGAAAAGTGCATGACGACCAAGAGCAGGAGTGATGGTAGCATTTTCTCTTTCAATACAGAACAGTACATCTGTGAATTCATGATACCATCAATGAAATGCAGCTCCTGACAACAGCAGCACTCATGCAGCCCCACAGAAGGACACTGCCACCACTATGTTTCACTGTAGGCACCATGCATTTTTCTTTGTACTCCTCACCTTTGCAACGTCATACATTTTTGAAGCCATCAGTTCCAAAAACATTTATCTTGGTCTCATCACTCCAGAGTACGGAGTCGCAATAGTTTTTTTTTTTTTTTTTAGCATGGGCCCTGGCAAATTTTAGGCTGACTTTTTTGTGCATGGGCTTTAAGAGAGGCATCCTTGGTGGACAACACCCATGCACGCCATTCCTCTACAGTGTACGCCATATTGTGTCACAGGAAACAATCACCC